AACAGACCTCACAACCTCTGAGGAAGCTTGCCATAGATGCAGGCGAAACGTCAGGAGAAATGCCTCTAGAACTTGGCTCTACAGCCCGAAAAAACCCACAAGAACCTAGAATGGTAAGTTGTTTGAACCAAAGTCTTTGCAAATTTCAGCATACTTGAAAGGTTTCCTCGATGCCATCAATGGAATAAAATTTGAACCTTTTTACTGGATTTGCATGAAGTCAAATTATTTCAGCTGTACACTAAAAGAAAATATTATCCAAGATGTGGTCTGATACACAGTAGCAATATATCTCAATAATGTCATTCTATGAATGCCTTGATTTTGGCATGTGTGCTACTATATATGTTCCATATCAGAACGAAGCAATCTTTACAGCAAATTTACAAAAAGTTTGAGAGACAAAATTACCACTAAGCATACATTATGTATGTGGGAAATGGCTGTAAAGACTTGATCTGGCACTATGATTCTTAGAAGTGCCTTCCGCTAGAACAGCAGGTGTGACTAAATGGAATAATCTGATGTGCTAGATTTCACTGGAGATCATGAACTTACTATAGAAATGAATCCTTTGGAAAGAAAGGAATAAAAGCCAACAAATATGTCACCTCTTTGTATCAATGGTTTAAAAATGAATTTCTTCTTATGAAGTTCTGTCTCCCATGCTTTTTAACATCTACATGAAACCGCTGGGAGAGGTCATCCGGAGTTTTGGAGTTGGGTGCCATCTCTATGTAGATGACGCACAACTCTACTACTCTTTTCCACCTAATTCCAAGGAGGCCTCTCGGGTGCTGGACAAGTGCTTGGCTGCTGTGTCTGTCTGGATGAGAAAGAACAAGCTGAAGATCAATCCCGACAAGACAGAGGTCCTCCTGGTCGATCGTAAACCGGATCGGGGTATAGGGTGGCAACCTGTGTTGGACGGGGTTACACTCCCCTTGAAAGCACAGGTCCGCAGTTTGGGAGTCCTCCTGGATTTATCACTCACGCTAGAGGCTCAGGCGTCGGCGGTGTCCGGGAGGGCTTTTGCACAATTGAGACTCGTGCGCCAACTGCGACCGTACCTCGCGAAGGCTGATCTGGCCGGGGTGGTGCCATGCCTTGGTCACCTCTAGATTGGATTATTGCAATGTGCTCTACGTGGGGCTGCCCTTGAAAACGGCTCGGAAATTCCAACTGGTCCAACGGGCAGCAGCCAGGATGCTGACTGGGGCCCCTTATAGAGAGAGGTCAACCCTCCTGTTCAGGGAGCTCCACTGGCTGCCATTTATCTTCCGAGCCCAATTCAAGGTGCAGGTGCTCACCTACAAAGCCCTAAACGGTTTGGGACCTGCCTACCTGCGTGACCGCATCTCCATCTATGAACCCACACGTTCACTTCGGTCATCTGGTGAGGCCCTGCTCGTGGTTCCACCTGCGTCACAAGCGCGTCTGGTGGGGACACGAGACAGGGCCTTTTCTGTGGTGGCCCCCCGACTCTGGAACACCCTCCCTAAAGATCTTAGACAGGCCCCTACATTGGCAGTCTTCAGAAAGAACTTGAAGACCTGGCTGTTCCGATGTGCCTTTCCAGATTAGGAATGTCCATTAACAAGTCCTCAAAGCACTTTAGTAGAAATAGATTACTGCACACCACACTCTGCACTTGCCCCATAATCCTTGTATACCTGCTGCCACATCAGCACTTTTAATCTTGTACCCACTACTCTGGCCTGGCCCAGTTTTATTATGTCCTGATGTATTGTTTATTGCATGTTGTTTTAATATTGCTTTAACTGTTTTTAATTTGCGTTTGGTGTTATATTGTTTGTGTTGTGTTGAGGCCTTGGCCTTTGTAAGCCGCATCGAGTCCTTCGGGAGATGCTAGCGGGGTACAAATAAAGTTAATAATAATAATAATAATAATAATAATAATAATAATAATAGGCATCCTGGGCCAACATATATATCCCACTCTGAACTTACCACATGATCTTTGAAACCTTTGAAATTTCCTAGTATGCTCTGGGGGTCTCTCTGCTGCAGTAATATTTTGTCTATGGTTATGGGAACATAAACAGATGTTTCTCCTGCTCACACTGTATAAGACATGGCATGGTGGGAGGAGGGGGCTTCAAAGGCTACTGTATGATAAGGAGGGAGGCATTGGATGCTGTGAAGGGACTCCCAATCTCCACAGTCTTCCCAAAAAGACATAGAGGGATGTGAGAGAAACATACATCTATGCAAACAAATGAAGAAAGGAAGCTGGTACCATGCAGCTGAACTACAATGTATATTTCTAAGAGAACATACTAAATCCCCATAATTACTTAAACTAATATTTCTCCTTGACAAAGACAGTATCTTTATAACAGTGTAAGTAGGAGCATCTCAGGTACTTTGATCAGTGGCTTAGAGTATCATAATTTCATGTTAGGCATCCATTTATCTCCCTTCAAAACTTGGCCATTGGATCTGAGCTGAAATGAAATGCTAGGTCTGTTCAACAGAGGTTTGATGGGTGAGGACACATGGGCACCCTCTTTCTATAATGGTTAGGAAACTTGGCAATGTTCAACTTAGTGACAACAACTCAAGTAGCCGTAAAGTGTTTGATAAGTGACTCAACCCCATTGTATAAGGGAGAGATGTGCAATCTATGGTTTAAGACAGACCTGTATAACCTGTGGCCCTCCAGGGGTTTGAGGCTTCAACTCCTAGAAGCGATAGTCAGCTTGTCCAATGATCAAGAATTTTGAGAGCTGAAGTCCAAAACACCTGGAGGGCTACAGATTGGGCAGGTCTGGTCTAAGGGCTGCCGTGCCCCTCTGAAAGCTTAAAGCCTTTACAAGAGTTACCTATCCCTTCCCTGGTAGCCTACTGAGTGGAGGAGGAAATAAAAGAGGTTGGTATCAAGAGAAAAGGAGGGACAGGAAAAGAGAGAAAGGGGGCATTTACTTTTGGTCTGGTCCTGGTTACCATTGACACACCCCATCCAATCTACTTGCTAGGGAATGTGGTCCTTGACCAAAGAAAATGTTGCCCATTTCTGCTGTAAGATTAGTTACCATTAGTTACTGGCTGCCATTTATTTTCCGGTCCCAATTCAAGGTGCAGGTTATCACCTATAAAGCCCTAAATGGTTTGGGACCCGCCTACCTTTGTGACTGTATCTCCCTCCATGAACCAGCCCGGGTCCTCCAATCTTCTGGAAAGGCCCTTCTTTTGCCCCTGCCAGTTTCACAAGGTTGCCTCGTGAGCACAAGGGAGAGAGCTTTCTCCTCTGTGGCCCCCCGACTCTGGAACTCATTACCTGGAGAGATTAGGAAAGCCCCTACCCTAGAAACCTTTAAAATTAACCTTAAAACCTGGCTCTTCTGCTGCACCTTTGGTGAGTAGGTATACAACCTCATACTATTGCTCAGCCTCAACGTTTTTGTCATTGGAGTATATGTGAAACCCCCCCCCCCCACTTCGTGGGAAAGCTCTTGTTTTAATGAGCCCCCCTCTGCAAATAACCTGCTTCTCCTTTTATCTTACCCATGTAAGATAAATTTTTAATCAGTTTTTAATCATTTTCTCACACATGTAGCCGCCCATTGTTACTGTGACTGTGTTTATTGTAATCTTACATTGTTAATGTATTCATATGTTTTATGTAATTATGATGCTGTTGTTTGTTGCATGTGTTTTTGGTTTTATTTTGCTGTAATTTGTTGATTGGGCTTGGCCTCATGTAAGCCACCCCGAGTCCCCGTTGGGGAGATGGTGGCCAGGTATAAATAAAGATGATGATGATGATTATTATGATTATTATTACAACCTTGTTAGTGCAGCCTAGAAACTCCTTTTCCTCTACAGTAATGCCATGGAACCTGATGCTGTTTCTCCAAAATCTCCTTCCTTCCACCCAAAAAGTGCTTGTTTTGACACGTTTGCCTATTCCAGGAGCTCCTAAAAATATCTATTTACCCACAATTTAAGGGTTTCCATACCTGAGTAACTCCTTCTCTTTTTCCAACGCATTGAGCATGTTCACTGAAGATGACTGCTGAAGACAGTATGTCTGGAAAGCAGGCAGCATATTGACAAACTCAAGGAATATTTCGCCAATGCACACAGTCATGAGGTCATCATCACCCTGTTAAGGAACAATGAAAGAGAAGCATCAGCCACCACAATGGAGTCACAAGCCTAATCACTGCCAGTGAATCCATAATTAAACTATCTCATGATGTGGGCTGCAAGAGTGAGTTCATTTGTGCCACATTTTCCCAGGAACATTTGCCTGCTTGAATGCTGATGAATAAAACTCCTTCAGCAGCCAACTCAACAACAAATCTATGCTGTACATTCATTCCTTGAATCTGTATTAAGATGGTCAACTTCAGCACTCTTCTGAAAATGAGGTCTCTAGGCCAGGAGAGTTCAACTTGACAATCAAGCTGTCAATATCTAGCAGTATTCAGAGCTCTGGAATATAGCTGATTAGGCACTGCATTACATATCAATGTACACATCAGTATGCTGTAGGAAATCCAAAAGGGAGACAGAATGGCGATGTGAACTTCTGCAGCTTACAGCATGAAAAACTATCTCTTACATGATATACAATGCTTGAAAAATGTTGAAAAAGCAACAATTGGACTTAATCCTAAAAAAGCCTCCCACAATCACCATCCCAAAATTAGCCAAAGATTCACTCTATGGGTACATCTCTGACTTTAAAAATCAGCTCAAGTCTGCTCATATTTTACTTGTACAGAAGTTTTTCACATCCTATTGTGATCTCACAGTAAACAAGAGCCTGTTATTTGAACTTAACTACTGCCCAATATCAGATTATTTGTATCCATCATGATCAATTGACACTTTCCTGTTGAATCAAGTGTTTACCCAAACACATCTTTGGGAGGACCATCTTATAGTTGGGGGGGGGGGGAACCCTTCACATACTCTTTATATCATTTGGAATACTTATGCTTTATGAGTTTGGACTTTTCCCTAGTATTCACATCCTAACACCTCATTGATTTGCCATATGGGCAGATATCCTACATTGATGTGATTTTGATTTACATATCAGTTGCATAAAACTGCCTCATTAGTGAATGTCAATATTTCACACTGAAAAACTACAATGCACAATGTAAACATGCATCAATGTACAGTGCACAACCATGCACAAAGGCACTGCAATCACAACTGTACTTCTGCAACCCTGAACTCAAAGCAGTCTTATTATGCCAGAATCCAGTTGATGTCTCAATTTTCCCTTCAAAAGCAATTTGCCATTCTTGTCCATCGCAAAAAGGCCATCTTGCAATGGAGAAAAATGGCAAATTGCCTCTGAAGGGAAAATTAAGACATCAACTGGATTCCGGCATAATAAGACCGCTTTGTAAAATTCCATTTCCTGATTTGCTCCAATTAATCCAAAATTCTCTCCTTTTATCTGGGGCTCCCTTTCAAGAGAAAATTTGATTCCCATACTTCAACTGGTCATATGTATGATTGGATGAAGTTAGCACCAAAGAAACGGATGGAGATATGGATCATTGCTTAATCCACTTTATGGATTAAGCTGTGATTCCAAAATATTAAGCGGGGCCAAAGAGTGCCCTTATTTCAATATTTTCATGCAAGCATTGTGTTGGAAAAGACACAACAAAAGAAGCTGAGAGGAAGCCTTTCAAGGCATGATCTCACTAAAGGCTGGTTTAAGAGAAAACACTTCTAAAACGTACACAACATCAATGATTTTCTATTCTTTAGAAACTGTTTAAGGGAGGGAAATGAAACAAATAAAAGTGCCTGATTCATATTGGCTAGTTCCATCAGCGTGAATGTACCGATTCTATGGAGTCCCTAAGTTATAAGCTGACTTACAAATTGCTCATACTTAAGAACAGGGTGAGATGACAGGAAGTGAGGGAAATCTACTCCTCGGAAAGGAAAACTCACTTCTGAAAAAGTTATCACAGGAAAACGGTGTCTCAACTGAATTGTTGTCACCGATCCTTGGATCCATAACAAGCCAATTTTTTCTAAATCCAGATATCACAGGGACAAAAAATGAGATGCACTATGAACATGTGCAGCCGAAACGCTGCCTATGTCATCCCCAAACTCTACGGCCCACCTGCTTTCATTCAGGGAGAATTTCATCCTATATTTGACGTGTTTCCTCCACCGTAGGCAGGCATCCCAGGGTTCCTTTTGTGGAATTTGTATGACCCCACCCACTGACTCTCCCTTAACCCTTTCCTACCCTTTCCTATGGCACACAGCAAACAGAGGAATTAATCTGCAACTGAACAGACTGGAGAGGCTTGGGGGACTGATTCAACAGGATGGAAGTTGTAGTTCACTCTGCATCAAGACAGAGGACTGTGACCCCCTTCAATAATGGACCTGGACCACATTTGGCACGCAGAACCGTCATGACCAGGTTTGGGGGAACTGACCTTGATTTATGTGAGTTGTAGTTCACCTACATCCAGAGAGCACTGTGAACCCAGCCAACGATGGATCTGGACCAAACTTGGCACACAGAACCAAAATGGCCAACTTTGAATAATAGCAGTGTTTGGGAAAGATTGACCCATGATTCTGGGGTCTGTAGTTCACCCACATCCTTATGTATTTTGTAATGAGAGCATTAATAAAAAAACAAAAAGACTGCCTTTTTCCTAATAAATAGTGTTATACATTACCAAACTGATATTACCAAAGTTCGAAAAACAAACAATGCCTTTCTCAAATAACCCGGGCACCAGGTCCCCAACTTAGTATAAAAAAAAGTTGAATAAAACATATGAACATGTAACAAGGTAAAACTCAGAATAAAACAATGCACATCCGTCAGTGGCAATAGCTAATGTAAACACGGCCAAGCTGTAAACAATAGGACCAGGGAATGGGAAAAGTACAAAGCTGTAATCGTGAGATGAGGGCATAGGATAAAGTGCAAGGCTGCGTAACAAATTCATAGATAAACTAGGAACTACGCATTTTTGAAAGCTTGTTTGAAGGACAGTGTGGAGGCTTGCCTACTCTCCCTGGGGAGGGCATTCCACCGAGAAGGCCCTCTCTGTTGTCCCCACCAACCGCACTTGAGACGGTGGCAGGACCATGAGGAGGGCCTCCTCGGCAGATCTTAGAACCTGTGCCAGTTCATGGGGGGAGGGGGATGTGGTCACGAAGATAGGGAGGACCCGAACCGGAGATGGGCACAGACAGCAAAACAAACACCCAAGGAGTGCTAATCCTTCCCTATGCTATCCAAAGCTTATACTTGTATGTATGTCTAGAGCTACAGTTTAAAATGTACCTGTTCTAATGTACATACAAATTCAACTTAAGAACAAACCTACAGAATTTATCATGTTTGCAACTTGGGTACTGCCTGTATTTGACTCAATGGATCTAATTGAATTGGGAATAACGGTAGGTTTCAGCACTTGTTTTGTATATGTATAATAGTGTGATAAAAACCCTAAATATGTTTATTGGGATTGGACCTATTCCGTGGAATTTGAAGGGAATTATTTGATCTATGCTGGAAAAGAATTATCATAAGAGACTTGCATACATATTATGGAGGAATCTCTGAAGGGGAAAAAATTAAGTCCCAGGTAGATATTTTACCCATTGCTCCAATTCCCACCTGATCGTGATGCCAGATGCTCTTGAAGTATTATTACTGACTGGTATTTTAAATCTGGAAAATGAGGATTTAATACTTGGTAGTGACCCTAAAGGCACCCTTATTGCAACTATGGATTCAAAAGATAGAGCTATGAATCTGTAATTTTTCCATGTTCAGTTACACTGGTCAGACCAGGAAACAACATGCAGTATTCTTAACTAAGCTGATGATGTAAGATCTTGATCTCAGATTGCAAAAGAAGAAATTCAAAAAAGGGAAAATTGCTAATAAAGCAAATGTCAAATTACTAATCATTATGGGGGCTAGCAAAAAGTGATTAAAAACAACACATTGTGAGCTATTAAAATATACAAATATGTGTACTGATCCTCTGACACATTAAAACAAAATACAATACAAAACCTGAGCTACTTATAGTATGATCAGCATGTTATTACCTTCCAGAGCGTGCAATGATAATTTATTCTGCAATATAATTTGAGGATCTCTATTTAATTTATGACTCGTTTCTGAGAAACTAAACTATATTTTGTAAAATGAAAATAAGACTATAAAACAAGAAAAGTCTGTAAATTGGGATTAAGATTATTCCCATTTTGGACAGGAGATGGCACTGTGGTACACTAATTCTATGACTTCATTTAGTATTGCTTTTATCAACTGAGAGATTGCTGAATATTAACAAAGAAAGGCAAAAACTTACCTAATATTGCTAAACTACAGATCCAGGTTATCAATTTAAATTTTGCTGGATTTAAACTAACAGAAGGATGACCACCCTTTGATTTAAATTGTGTTCCAGCATTAAAGTTGGGAAAAGATGAATTTTGCATCCCAGAGTTTTTAATTGTGAATACCAATCTCCCCAATCCAAGGCTCAAATAATGCCAAAACTTTAAAGAGTTCTCTTCATAAAGTTTGGCGCAATATAAGCTTTAAACTTTACTTCTTCATGTTTTTCATTATAATTAGTATTTTAATTGCCAGGTCCACAGAGTCTGCATACTCTGTATGCAGACTCTGGACTTGGCAATTTTTTTTAAAAAAAGGTATGCATAGTCCGTTTAAAAATTGCTCAGTTCCATTATGGTCAGAACTGAACATAGAATGCTGCATACATTGACTGAGCTTCTCAACTGCTCTTTATTTCCTTACTCTTTTCTTCAGCACCTATGTCGCATTGTATATTCCAGGGGTCCTCAAATGTTTTAATCAGAGTACTTGAGTATAAGTACTTGAGTTTTTCAACACATTTTTATGCTGAAAAAGCCCCTCTTGGCTTATACTTGAGTGAGGATCCTGGTAGGATGGCATGGGGCTGAAAAAAGCCTTTTTCAGGGCTTCTACCTGCTGCGTGCCTCTTCCCCTTTTGGAACAGAGACCTTCAGCCCCCCCCCCCCCCGAAATTCTCATGGTGGTTCACGAGAAGGCCTTACTGGTACATTATTTAAACTGTTATGTTTATTCAT